TAATGATTATATAGGTGAAACTAAAATATATGTCAAATATATAATACCTATACAATATTTAAAATTCATATTTTCATAAAAGTATCAACCTTCATTGAAAGAAAATATATAAAGGATTAGAGTTCAAAAGACAAATTCAATATATATATATTATGCCTATTCAAAATTTATAAAAGTATTATATAAAAAATACAATTTTATTCAATATTTAGGAGAACATTATACAAAAGATATAACCCTATTCAATATTAAAGTTTAAAAGGCAAATCCAAAATATATCTAATCAAATACAAGAAGAAATTAGATCGAATTGATTTTTATTAATTAAAAACAAATTATTAATTAATAACAAATTAGCAACTAAAAACGGATCTTGATGTTTTTTATATTCTTGTCTTTGTACTTTTAATAGTTATGAGGGTGCTTCAACCACTGGATTTTAATTTTTAATAGGCATTCTTGCTTTTTATTTTAAAAAAATAATTTTTTTTATGATATCATATGACATAATTTATTATGTGCCACTTAATTTAATTTTTGACTACCGTCAAAGACAAGGATCAGAGAGAATGAAAGAGGGCATAGCGGGAGTGGAGAAGAGAAAAAGTTGAAAAAGTTGAGAGAAAATGAAACTGATTTTTTTTTTTTTTGGTACATAAGAGATTATAAGATCAAGATAAGAGGAAGTTAAGCCCGAAGGAACGAAGTCCCTATGGCGTCCCTACGGAGGATACTGCTAATACCAACAGGAGGCGTTACAAACAAAGTGACATCCTGAGAAAGGTTTTGTCCAATAGCAGCCATGTAATCTGCTGCCGAGTTGCCTTCCCTAAGAGTATGTTGAATACGATACTCTGAAAAATTGTCTAAAAGATGAAGGATATCAGAAAACAGAGTTGAAGCTAAGCCTTCCACCCCTTTCCTCGCCTGGAGCATTTGAACAACCAATAGGGAGTCCATTTCTAGGATTAAATGAGTAATACCCAAATCAAAAGCCATGCGCAGACCTTCACGGCATCCCCATAGCTCTGCTATAAAACTGGATTGATGTCCAATACTCAAGGCAAACCCATGCACCCAACGACCTTCATGATCACGAATCAAGCCACCAGCACTAGCCTTCTCCACAACATGGCTCAAGGCCCCATCAGTATTTAGCTTAAGGAAAGGTAAATCAGGTGGGTACCATCTAACCCAACGAGGTGCTCGAGAATGGCCCAATATTTGTGTTGCTAAAGCTAATCTTGTGTTCAAAGCTAAGGAGGTAGCTTGCTGAAGCACGGTTTGAGGAGGATATCGCTTGCCCTCAAAAATCAGAGCATTTCTGCTCTTCCAAATGTACCAAAGGAGGGCAAGGAACAACATGGACCATCTCTGATGAGACTCTTCTAAAGATGAAGTGGAAATAGCATTCTGTAGAAGCCAGGCATTCAAGTCCAAATTGAAGAAGTCTGACGGTAAAAATGATGTAGATTCCCATACCAGGCGAGAATAATAACAGTCCCTGAGTAAATGCAAAGGTGTCTCCTGGGCTTGTTCACATCTTGGGCATAAGGGTGAAGATGCAAAGTGCCGTTCAAAACGAAGGGAGTTTGTGAATAACCGTCCTCTCCTCAGAAGCCAAATAAACAACTTTATTTTTTCAACACACTGCAATTTCCAAATCCAACTCCAATTCCCAAAATGATTGTGCAGTAATATGGATTGGTGTTGTATCAAGTAAAAAGCTGATTTGACTGAGAAAACACCATTGTGTGAGCCGGCCCAATAAATCCCATCTTCCTGTTGTCCAAAGGTTGGCAAAGGTAATGCCAAGATTTGTTCAACTGCAGGTTGGGGTAAGAGTTGCTGCAAAACAGATGTATTCCAAGTCCGATCTTGCAGAATAACATGAGAAACAGGGACATCAATCTGATCTTCAAGTACTGGAATCAGTGCAGTGTCCAGCAAAGGCTTATCACCAACCCAAGTATCTTGCCAAAACTTGATGTTCTCACCGGTTCCAACTCTCCAACACAGTCCTAACTTCAAAACATCTCTACATTTTAAGATGCTTTTCCATGTAGCAGAGCATGCTGAGCTTATGCGGCAACTCATAAAACTCTCATGCTGTAAATATTTATATGTAAAAGCCTTACACCAAGGTTTTTCTGAATGGGAAAGCAATTGCCAACCAAGCTTTGCAATTAAAGCTCGATTATTATCTTTTGCTAAACGTATTCCAAGACCTCCTTGATCTCTCGGCAAGCAAATAGAGTGCCAATTAACCAAGTGAGGTTTGTTAGCCACATCAGATCCCCAAAGGAAATTTCTATTCAATCGATCAATAGCTGTACAAACATAATCCGGAAGAAGGATTGACTGCATTGTGTATGTTGGTATTGCAGAAGTTACCGACTGCACCAAAACTCTTCTCCCTGCCAAGCTCAATAGCTTCTGTTTCTAGCCGGATAGTTTCACCTGAATCTTCTCTAGCAAATACTTATAGGTGGTCTTTGATTGCCTTCCATGTAATATGGGAACTCCCAAATACACTCCCAAATCACTTGTTAAAGGGATACCACAAGCATTACTGAGAGACACTGCTACATGCCTTTGCAAATTTGGCGAGGCATAAAGCTGAGATTTAGCTAGATTAATGTCCAATCCAGATTCAAGTGAGAACTCTCTTAAACAGTCCATAACCATTGCCACTTGATTTTGAGTTGCAGAACAGAAAAGCATAAGATCATTAGCAAAGAAGAGGTGTGAAAGCTCTAAACCTCCCCTAGATAGTTTGAAGGGCCGCCATATCCGGGATTGCACCCGACTTTGAATTTTGTGAGAGAGTTTTTCCATAACCATAATAAAAAGATATGGGGATAGTGGATCTCCTTGACGTAAGCCTCTTTGAGGTTGAAAAGAAGGTAACTCTTCCCCATTCCAAAGAACACTAAGCTGCAGAGATGTTACTGAAAACATAATCAGCCGAATGAGAGGAGTTGGTAAGTTAAAGTCATACAAAACATTACCAAGAAAACCCCAGTCAACGCTATCAAAGGCCTTGTGAAGATCAATTTTGAAGACAAGAGCACCTTTTCTACCTCTAGACCTTCGCATAGAATGAACAGCTTCTTGAGTGAGTAAAATATTGTCTGTAGTACTTCTTCCTGGAAGAAAACTGCTTTGAAAGGGCCCGATTAGCTGCTGTAATAAAGGTCGTAATCGATTCACAATAACTTTAGAAAGCACTTTATAAGCCACATTCAGCAGACAAATAGGGCGAAACTTTTGAATAACATCAGGATTGTCACCTTTTGGTATTAAAACTATGTGCGCTTGAAGTAGAGAAAGTTCAAAATGACCATCTAAAAGAGCAGAGTTAATGAAAGATAGCAGAGTATCAGATACCACCTCCCAGTGCTTTTGATAAAAAATGGGCTGTATACCATCAGGTCCTGGGCTTTTAAGAGCTTTCATGGAGAATAGAGCAGAGCGGACTTCTTCAAGAGACACAGGCAGCAAGAGAGCAGTACTATCAGCTTCAGAAAGTCGTGGTTGAAAAGCAGAATAATCTATATGAGAAGCTTGAGTGTCCTTCCTTGAGAAAAGCTCCACAAAAAAATCTCGGATATGTTGTTACAAAGCAGGGGGATCTTTTACCCAGTTGCCATCAACTTTCAAGACCGAGATTCTGTTTCTATTCCGTCTAACCATGGTGGATGCATGATAGTAGCTCGTATTTCTGTCACCTGAAGCAATCCAATCTACACGTGACTTTTGACACCAGAACAACTCCTCTGACTGAAGAGCATGATGATACTCTGTTAATAGATCAGACTCTAGGCCTTGCAAGAATCTAGAAGTGGGATAATGGACAGAGTTCTGAATGCCTGCAAGACGGCACTTTAATTGTCTTTTCCTACGAAAAATATCACCAAATACCTCTTTATTCCATTGCATACACACCTCTTGCACGGACTTAATGGCATTTGCAATTAGTGCTCCATGTGCAAACCATGCATTTGTAAAAACTTGACCAAAATCAACATGGGTTAACCACGCAGCTTCAAAACGTAAAGGTTTAAAGGCCTTACGCATTAGTGATGAAGAGTCTAAACACAGTAGAAGAGGGTGGTGATCGCTACATAACCTTGGAAGATTAAACACCTTAGCACCCGGAAAAGACTCAAGAGCCTTAAGATTGAAAAGTGCTCTATCTAGCTTTTCCCGCAGCACTACTCTACCATTTTGCTTACGAACCCAAGTAAACTTGCAACCCAGGGAATCAATAGAGTGTAATCCACAACTTGAAACTCTGTCTCTGAACTGCTGGGTGCGAATAAATCCTCTCGTTGCACGAGGAGAAGCTTCTTCTACTGTGAGAATATCGTTAAAATCACCCATCACTATCCAATTCTCAGTTGTAAGTGACGCAACTTCCCTCAACTGGCACCAAAATGAGTCCTTTTGAATGACATGCGGCTGAACATAAGCAAAAGTAAACAAACAAGCAGCTTGTTGTTGGGAGGCAACACAATGAATAAATTGAGGAGAACTATGTAAAATATCTAAACATACAGCCGATGAACACCAAAATAACCATAGACCACCAGCCATGCCTTGTGAGAAAATCTGACGATCTCTATCGAACCCAAACCGCCTCATGAAATTTAGAGCAGTTGTGGAAGAGTCTGCTTTAGTTTCAAGAAAACAGATGATGTCAGGACGATGCATTTTAATGAGTTCTTTACATTCTCTGCAGAAAGGGCCATGCTTGACCCCTCGGCTATTCCAAGTAACTACCTTCATTGGGAACTAGATGATGGGAAAACGGCTGTAGTTGAAGGAATAGCCGGAGTATGCACTTGGCCAACATGATGTGGCAAAGGAGATATTTCTGATGGAGGAGCAGAGACATCTTGGGAATGCGCCACTACTGACTTAGAGTGGATTGAGGTTGGAGTTGTCGTTTGGGCTGGAGGTTGTGGAGTGGCTAAGGAAGAAGGCGAAGGTGATGGGGACGAGGGTTGAAGCACGGCTAAAGAGACAGAATCACCCAATGAGCACTGCGTGGTAGATTGGATTGAAGGCAGCTTCGGTAATGAGTGGTTTAGATGCTTCTTGAGTGCAGAAGGCAAATCATAAGGCTTTTGAGTAGAAACCTTGGTGTCTTTAAGCATCGGGCCTAAAGTCTTGCCCTTCCTCTTAGGAGGCTTCGTTTTGGACTTAACAAAGCCAGTAGAAGGAGCTGGAGGAGGAATTGGAGACACTGTTTGTTCGGGGCAATTTTGGGCCTTTGTGGCTGTTTGGGCTTCAGTAACTGGTGTGGAAACAACATCCATTGGAGCCAAGGCCTCATTTGCTTTTGAGGATTCTCCCGCCAGAACGGTCTGACCATGAATGGCAGTTATTAGATCAGTTTCCTCCTCCATCACCTCCGCAAATACCTCAAACCGATTTGCCTGGGAATTAAGCCCCCCATTACGCCTACCATGTTTATCAACTGCAACAGATTTCCCCGAGATTTCCGGTCCTACAGCAGACGGAACCCTAGCTTGCTGGGTAGAAGATTTGTCTTCCAATTGAGGCTGTCTGGAGTTAATCGGACTTCGTCGTCGTGGCTTACGTTGCTGCACCATCCACGGGCCAAAAACCATGTTATACTCTGCCATTTCTGGTTTTAAAGCTTGACTAAGTTCTATCATGGCTCGAGTGCAAGAATTGCCGGTCATTATTGACTTCTCTGGGTTCTTATAATGGCAGGAATCCTCCGTGTGCCCAAACTCTCCACAATGGAAGCAAATCCTATGTAAACTTTCATATTCCACTGGAATGAGTATTTGAGGTAAATCCTCCAAATCTAAATCAACTGAGGATGGCAATTGCTGATTGAGATCTACTTCAACACAAACACGTGCAAACTTCTCCCTAGTCCCTAAGAGTGTGACACTGTCCACTTTAATTGGTTTGCCGAGTTTGCTCGCAAGATATAAAACTATGGCCTCCTGATAACACATTGATGGCACACCATGAAGCTTAACCCACACTGCAGTCTTGGGAGCTTTGGCTCTTGCTGGGTGAAAACTTGGTTCCCATGGTTGGACAGCCAAGTAATGATCAAAAAACTTATAGGGGCCTCCAGTCAAAACTCTGGAACAATCCTCTGGTGTAGCAAATCGCACGATGAAGTAGCCCAAACCAACATCAATAACTTCAAACTCCTGTTCCGTTCGCCATTCCTTGAGTAATCTGGAATGAAGAATACGAAAATTGATGGATTTGCCCAAAAGCTTTATAATGACAGCGTTCTTCCATGGGGCACAAAGTCGTTGCCAAATAGATTTGGGAATTCGGACTTTTGGAACCTTCGATTGCGACGGCTCCACTCCATCTGCTACCATCGGAGAGTCTGGATTTGCCGCAACTAGTTCTTCATACGTCACCAAAGGCGGAGTAACGGAAGCATTACCCGTAATCAAAGTATCTCAGAAGGATTTAGTGGGAGGTATAGTCTCAGGGGATTGGACGGTTTCGGCAAGACAGGGGGATTGGGCAAGAGGTTGAGGATCTGAAGAATTTACAAGTATGTCTGGCGGGGGAGGAGGAGGAGGTGGTGGAAGGCTGGGCGTAGACGGCAGTGGGTTGAGCATCTTGAAATTATTTGTTGTATAAAAAAAAAAAATTGATAATTAATGTAGAGAAAATGAAACTGATGAGATGTTAAGATTTGAGTATTTTATTTATTTTTAGGGTTAGTAAATCAAAATTTTAATATTAATTTTTACATAATCTAATAAAAATGAATAAAAAATGTTCGAGTTATTTCGGTGATCCGATCCACTCTAACTTAATCCATTTAGATACAGATAATTTTAGTTTGAGATATTTCAATTTTTGAATTAATATATAAGATCGGTAACTCTTCTCGTAATGGATGGATTGGATTGGATTTTTGGATGTGATCTAATTTTGCCAGTTCTAGCTCTTACGCACACGTGTCTCTGAAGGTTTCCGTCTCATCGACGGTAACGCCACATCACCCGTTTTACCGAACTGGCGTCGCCGAAAGTTACCTCCGTCCGACAACCAAACTACTCACCAGTCAAAAAAGGTAACGTTCCCTGCCATATAAGCAACACTGCGCCCAGCGAATGGCCTCCTCAGCTTTCCATTTCTCCACTTCGCACCGTACTCTTCGTTCTTCTTCACCTGTACGTAGATTGCATCGCACTCCGTCTTACGCCTCGTTAATCTCGCAGGCGGCGGCGCTCAAAACCCTCGTGAGATCTCCTGATTTTAGAGGGGTTTCTGTTGTAGGCAAGAAAGCCGGGGGAATTGGGTGGAGAAGAAAGGCGTCAGTGGCAGGGGCAGGGATGGCAGCAGAGAGAGGGGAAGGGAAGAAGGTGAATGTGTTTGATTCGGAGGAGGATCTGGCGGTTGCCCTCGCGAAATACACTGCCGATCTAGCTGATAAGTTTTCCAAAACGAGGGGCTCTTTTACCGTCGTCTTGTCTGGAGGTTCCCTAATCAAATCCCTCAGGTCAAACGCTTTCATTCATTTTTCTGTTCTTTTCAGATTATTTGTTTCTAATTAATTAAAGTTTTCATTTCCCAGTTTCATTTGCTGTTCTTTTGAAAAAAATAAACGCTTGTACCTTGTTAGTGATCTGTTTGGTTGGTGAGAAAGAGTAGGATGCAATAAAACTTGGCTTAATTGGGCTCAAACATGTCTTTTTTTAATTCCTGCTTAATAGAAAGGCATACTTTACTTTCCAGAAGCCTAAACAAATTGATTTTCTGCTATTGATGATATGGGAAATTGTGAATTGCTGATCATTTTATGTTGGAACTTCAGGAAATTAGTAGAACCGCCATATTTAGATTCAGTGAATTGGTCAACATGGCATGTTTTTTGGGTGGACGAGAGAGTTGTTCCCAAGGATCATGATGACAGTAACTATAAGCTAGCATTTGATGGTTTTCTTTCCAAGGTATAATTTTCAAAAGAATTCAACTGTCATGGTTTTTTTTTAATTGCTGAAAGGTTTATAAGTTTATACATATGATATTGGTAATGAATTCTGCCACTTCAAAGTAAATTGCAAAAGTTGTGGTCTTGTAATGGACCATGGATGGCATCATTCATTTTATACCAGTTAAGATGCAAAAAGCTACTGTTTCACAGGTATCATTATTTTTTAGAGTTCCAACTTAATATCTGCCAATATGTACTGTTGCTTGTGCCTTGTCATCATGGGTTTTTACATGATACTCTCTGCAAGATACAACTGGGTAATTCATTCTCGATGGGATGCCCAAAAATAATCTGATGTTTCACTGCTTGGGGTACATGACTAAATTCCATACTTTTCTATCCTTGTTTCCAGAAGGATGTAAATATGCCTTAAAATGCATTAGAATATGCAAATGCTGTTGGTTTAAATATTTTGACTGTTGTTTGTTACTTTGTTAACTATTTCTTGAGATTCTTTAATTCAATCAAATTTTATGTGGATGGTAAATTCTGGATGATGTAAATTGAAATTAGTTATTCTGCAATTATGGTATTGATCTTGTTATTGCAGACTCTGATGATGTCATTTGTCTTCTATGGATCTTGCATTTCCCTTTTCTCAGCTGTTGAGCACAATTGGGTTAAATCTTTTGTTTTCTCTCCTTCAGGTACCAATTCTCCCTGGTAATGTCTATTCTATCAATGATGCACTGCCGGCTGAGGGTGCAGCTGATGATTATGAGATCTGTGTCAAACATTTGGTCAAGAGTAACGTGATTAGCGTATCTGAAAGTGGGCTACCAAAGTTTGATCTCATGCTTCTGGGTATGGGCCCAGATGGGCACGTGGCTTCTCTCTTTCCAGGACATCCTCTTGTCAACGAGAAAGAGAAATGGGTTACCTTCATCAAGGATTCACCAAAACCACCTCCAGAGAGAATTACCTTTACTTTCCCTGTCATCAACTCATCTGCTTATGTTGCACTTGTGGTAGTTGGTGCTGGTAAAGCAGGTCCAGTCCATGCAGCATTAGGTAATGGTCAGAATTCTGATGTGCTCCCCGTCCAAATGGTTTCACCTGCAGGGGAATTGGCTTGGTTCTTGGACAAAGAAGCAGCTTCCAAACTTTAGGGTATGATAAACTATAGCCACATGAGTTGCTCTATGTATTAAATAAAAGTATGTTTGCTTCTGGCTCTGCGTTATCATCAGTAGGTTTGCTGCTGGATTTGTAATCTTGATTTTCTTTCTTATCATGAGGGTGACAAGAGCATGGATTTCAATAAATATATATGGTCCCATATATATTATCTGTGATATACCTTTTATTCCTTTGTCCTAATCTTTTCTTATCAATCTCCATCAATTTGTGTCATTGCCTACAGAGCTTGAATGGTGAAAATCCTACCCTAACCTATAACCCAATTGGCAATTGGAGTTTGTAATGTGGTGATTAAATTGCATTATCCGGTTGTTTCCTCAAAACTTGGAGTAATCTGGTATGGTTAAACCTCTGTTGGATTTTTCAGTTTATCTCATTTGTTTCCCTGTAGTCTCTGAAGCGAGCTTAATTAGCTTCCAAAGAGAAAAGTCCGGGTGGCATACTTTATTCCTTGTCAAGCCAGATAGACCTGTAGATGGTGGACATAAATTAGGGAATGCACTCTTAGCATGTCATTAAATTTATCTCCACCATCCTTGCTGCTATGGCACATGGCTGGAGAATTAGGAAAGCCATTCTTCTAACCAGCCATTCTTCTAACCCTTATCTCATAGCTACGAAATTTCTCATTTTTAGAAGGAAATCTCTTGTTTGTAACTTTGTATTGGGTATATTATGTGTCTATTGGAATGATAGTATTGTTATGGGGTTTGGTATCTCTCCCTTTCTTGCAGCTCAAATTGGCTAAGCTTTCTTGAAGTTTCATCTGAGTCCTAAAAACTTGTCTCTTTCTTGAAGCAAAAGATGCTAAGCCCAAGAGTATAACCTTTTCTAAACACAACCTAACCCCCATGCATGATTGAAGAGAAAAGTGAGTCTGCAAAAAACAGAATTTTCTCTTGAGATTTCATAAAATTGGGATCTTTCATTCTTTATCCTTTCCCCAAACAAACCAATATTTGTATATTAAATTCAGAAGCATATGATGAAGGCCTGAATCATCTTTGACAATTAACAGACATATGCTTGCATTTTCTGGGGACATGATTCATGACACATCATTGGCTAGTTGTTGTTGTCCCATTGAAGACGGAGTTCACTTTGTACCCTCCCTTAATTTCATTCTTCTAAATCCCTTTCATGATTATCGTATGTGATTGAAAAATAAAGTTTTCGAGCATGTTATGTAAAGGCATGTAAAGAGGCCGAAGGCAAGACAGCGACATTCATATAAAAGTTAATCCTGTATGCAAGCAAAATAGGTGGCCCTTGGCCTCCATTGCCATTGATACATCCATTAGGTTTGTTTTTCTTTGCCTAATTTGATTGGCATCATTCATGATTTCTTGTCCTGGATTCTGCATTCAATTTCTTTGGATGGTAGGCCTCTGCATTTCTTTTGAATAGTGAATTAATGAATTCAATTTCTTTTGGGTCGTTGGCTCATTTACACGGGCATATTTTTGGAACAGTTTCTCCACTACAAAAACAGGGTGTATTAACTTACCAAAAAAACGGGGGTGCGTTAATCCAATGATTAGATTTATAGGTAAATATTGTCAGATAAATTCAAATTTTGGTCTAATACTTAAAAAAAATTAATTTTATTAAATATATTAAAATAATATAAAAATTACTTGCAAATAAATTAATTAATGTATACAAAAATTAATTCGGAGACCCCATGACCATCTAAATTAAAAAGAAAAAAAAATTAAACAAAAACCGAAGCAGGG